CATGATACAAGTTTGGTGCCCACCCAGAAGGTAACTAATGTTTCGCTGACCGCTTCTGGGAGGAAATTTGCTAGATCTGCGCCCATAGAGGTTTTTCTTTCTGCTTTGTTTGTACATTACAGATTTCATGTATTTTCCTGATGCATTATTTTTTATGTTCTTTTTTTTTTTTTTTTTTCAAGTTGTGGGTTATACTGTACAAAGGCTTGTCGTCTTTGTCTTTTTGACGCTCATCTTCTTTGTCCTTTTGACCGTGTATTTAATTATATACCTGGAATATGAATGTCTATATGCTGTTTGTTGACATTTTAAAAATAAAGGAAAAAAAGTACATGTCTGAGGCATAATGTTTTGTACGGTCTGAGATATTTTGTAGACAACATTTTGCTACAGGCAGGTATAGCAGAATTGCCATTCATCCATTTGAAGTCCGCAGAAACGGATGAATCGATTATAGATGTTATGAACTACCCATTTCATTATGATTTTGCAAACCTGCCTAATCTTCATTTCTGAGGTAAAGACCTGCCCGTGGGTCGAAATCTCAAAACTCAAAAAGAGTGTGAACTTTGCATGATATGAAGAAATGTGTATGTATGTGCTAATACAATATAATACGTGTATGTATTAATCTTTGCGGCTAATACAATATAAATATAAAAAGTATTTAGGTGTTTGTATTAATCTTTGCAGGAAATAATTGAGAAAAGATTGCAGATTTAAAAAAAAAAAAAAAAAAAGAAATTCAATTTACAAAACATAGAGGTAATCCAAAGTAAACTCGATACTTTTCAAAATTGAGTACAAAAGAATGTGCAAAGTTGAGAGAAGATTTAGGCTGTGAAGCTTTTTTAAGCATAAAAAATTTGCAAGCCTGCATAATTGTTATAGAATCAGAGATTGCTATTTCCAGGCCACAGAATCAATGTCATCTCTAGCTTGCTTGTACAACTCAAGTCTTTTAGCTAAGGTTGCTCGCTTGTCCATGAGCTGTGGGTCCTCGTCCAACATTGCACCAAGCCTCTCCTTCTGCACACACCATGGAAATGGAATTATTAGCTTCAAATTTATTCTGCACCTTTTTCCATCCTCTTCCTATTATTACCAACAATAAACTGAACCATACAGCACTACTTTGAGAAATGACATTGATTCTGTGGCATTACGTTATATTTTTACGTTTTGGATCTTACCTCTAGCCCCCACTTTGAATTCTTTAAAAATAGAAGTCCAATTCTCCTTTTTAATTCATATGAATTTAATTCCTACCCTCTAAAAGTTCAATGTCAAGGTGGAGGGGAGGTTTAACATACAAATTTTTGTTCTAACTCATGTCAAAAGTACTATAAAGATCAAAAAGTTGGAATTGAGTGAGGATGAAATAGAATCAAATCAAATTAAGCCTTGTATCTTAAACTCTCAAGTTATAAACCAACTTACTGTGGTTGAGTTGTTTATTTTTCCCCCTCATTATCATGAGGATGGGCGTTCAAAATTTTATGAGCCCCATTGAGACAATAAGAAAACTCTCAAGTTATAAGAACATCTATCTCATTTTATATTTTCTCAAGAGTCAGGAAGAGGGTTGAGGGGTTCGAAGAAAAAAGCACCCAAAAATTACCTCTCTCCTCCCAACTTGACTGTAGAAGTAGTTTAGAAGTGATCTCCTGGCTTCTCTTACTTGGCAGTAAACCACAGCCTTCGGAATAGAATTCCTGAGCGTGTCGCACACCATATTTATATAAGCAGTGACATTTGATCCTGCAGAAATAAAAGGACAGTGCAAAGTTTTATTGTTTTTTGTCTTGCATTGGTCAGTTGGTA